GAGTTTTTTGTTCAAAATTTCCCCGCCCCCCCCCCCCCCCCCCCCCCCCTTACAGACTACAACAACCGCGCATAAAACGCTGCAAATTTATTTACCAATAAAAAGGGCGAGTTAAACAGAATTAAGAATATGAGTTCAACTGCTATATAATATTTCAATACTTTCATAGTTATTTGAAAAAACTATTATATATTTGTTAAAGTTCGTAAGAATGTAGTCATGGACCTTTTTTATAATTTGAGCTTACATGTTAAAAATCAAGGATGTAGAGTGATAATATATACTGATCTGTCATAGCAGTCATGTAATTAATATGAGAAGTATGATTCGATTTTTTTATCAGTGTGAAAAATAAACAATATTACCATTATGGATTAATTGAGATATAAGGTAGTGTGGTAGGAGTTGCTAATGCATATAAACTACATTATTGTAATAGTTCTATTCATCAAATAGTCGATGGTGGAGAAAAATAATTTTAAATTAAAAAACAAAAAAGAAATGATTATTATCTAATTAATGTATAGCAATGATTATAAATGAAATCGAGCGCGCTTAAATGAAAAAAGATATTTTCTTTTTTTAATATAAAAATAAATAATCAACTCTCGGTCTTTTCATCAATTGTCAATGAAAACAACTATAGTTGGCAAGAAGTCTTTCAGTATATAGATCATATGCCAGGTAACAACGCTAAACGTATACGTGAGTTCCACATTTCAGCTTCTCAGGAGCTGCGCTAACAAGGTTTTTTCGATCGTATTTCACAAAATAAAATATGATAAGATACAAAACTTGAACGAAGTTTTGTGCGTCTTATGAAACCTAAAAATATCTTGAAATTCATTGAACATGAAGAATGGTGTGAAAAATGAAACAAAAGTATCTATCTAATTTGCATCTTTAGCGATCACTTGCGATTGATGAGCCAGCTTCCACTGTGCAGTGGTTTACTAGTACGATTTTTTCCGGCTAATTCAGCATGGAAATTCTTACGTAACTTACCAATAGCTGGTTATACTCGAAGAGCATTTGATGATTTATTTCACATCAATTTTGCTTTTTCGTTGGCAAAAAGTTCCGAATAATTTTTCACCTATTGGCATGCCGTCATACTCTTCTGCTTATGATTCTTATGGAATGGAAATACTTTGATCATTGGGTTATTTATTTCAAGATAAATACAATGCTGATTCTCAATTCATAGTTGGTGTTCAAGATAAAAATTTATATGATTTATCTTGTACAATCTGGCGTTACCTAAAACAGAATCATTGTTATCGAATTAGAGATATATTGCATGAGGCAACTTCAAAAACAAATCATAGAGCTTCTGATGAGTAGTCACACTTAAAATAAGTGGCATTTGCAATTATAACACCAAATCGTATTCAATATCAACCGATGCTAGTGACACGTTGTCATCGAGGATTTGAATTATATCCTCCAGAGAATCGGTTACTTGTTCACATACGAGATTATAATGGAATAGATAAAATTTATAATCTAGATCTTCAAATGCGAGTACGTTTTAGAAATTTAATGATAAAAGGTATTGCTCGTGCTAAACGTTATTTTCAAAATTTTGGATCATCGGGCACCCAAATGAATGAACATGCTGGTGGATTTCTCTCACTTCCTCGGGGAACAAGGATGGAATCAGCACGTGCACAAATCGGAGATTTGTCAAAAATTCTGAATGTATCTACTTATATTGCACGAGTTGGTCTATACCTGACAACATGAAAGTCATCGGGGGTAATTTATTATATTTCTATCTATTACTATCTTTGAATTTTTACCTCGCTTTTTTAAGCATGTTGATCAACTTCTTCAGTAGTCAGTTGAAAAAAAATATCATACTCAATTCTCATTCTGATTATATTTCTGAAAGATTGTTTACTATCACCATCTGTTTTTAAATTTAGTCTAAACTAATCTATAATGAAACACCATATTTGGAACGAACGTCTAGTGGATTCTCACGTTTGACAGCAGCAGACAGATGCTTCGCATAGCAAAAACCTGTACAACAATTCACTTGTCAGCAAATGTTTTATTTAGTTTTTTAAATCTAAAACTGAGAAAACAGAGTACACGGCAGCTATCATCTATATATATAATGTTCAGTGTCTGTCTGTGTGTGTGTATGTTTCTCTGTGCCGGGTCAAAGGTTAAAGATCAAATAAGACTATAAGGAGAAGGTCCTCAAGGTCTTTTATATGGGACTACCCACAGGTCCTCAACAGCTATTATATAGGGGTATCCATAGGTACTCAAAAGCTGTTATACGGGATACCTATAAGTCCTCAAGGGCTATTATATGGGGTAGCCACAGGTCCTCAAGACCTATTATATGGCGATATTCATAGGTCCTCAAGAGCTATTATACGGGGGTGCCTATAAATCCTCAGGGGCTATTGTATGGTATATCTATAGGACATGAAGAGCTATAATATGGGAGTAGCCATAGGTTCTCAAAGGACTGAGGCAATAAGTTGTAAGGCAATAAGGAGATAAGGCTACAATAGCTACAATGGGTACACGGCTATAAGGCTGAAGGCTACATGGGCTAGAAAAATATGTGTGATATAAGAGTATCGGGCCATAGGGCTATCTATCTATATACATAATATCGAGTGTCTGTATGCCTGTTCCTGAATGAAAAGTTAAACGTCTTCGATCATACGTTAAAGGAGAAAAATAGCCGTGCAGTATGCACGGACTCTCGCTAGTTTCAAATATTGAACACCATGGATTTTGTTTCACTGATGACTGTAGCACAATATCGCTTGGTCTTGCGAAAAAACTAGCGCAAAGTATCGGCATTCAAATTAAAGAAAAAGTTAGTCGTTTGTTTTTTGATACTTTATCAATTTAATTTTATATAATGAGACTTTAGTCGGATATACCATCGGCTTTTCAAGTTCGAATAGCTGGGTGTAAAGAAATGTTATCGATTGATCCTGAATCGAAATCAAATGAATTCTATATTAAAGTTCGAAAAAGTATGATAAAATTTGAAAGTGATGATTGGACTCTTTACGTTGTTAATCATTCTCGACCTAGTAAATAATCAAACAATGGTTTTCAACATACTATTTGTTGTTCTGTATATGTATAGTACCATTGAGTTTGAATAATCAAGTTATTCGATTATTGAGTGATTTGGGCAATAGTAATGGTGTATTCGAATCTATTCAAACG